GAGAAGCCCTGTCATAAAGTACGTAATAAGATCAAATAAAAATAATTAGAACTCTATTTTTGATTCTAATACCGTATCACGATATCCTTTTGTGTTAAGAGGATCCGAGCTTCTTATAACTTAGGATTTATGAACAACCTTCCTCTTGCTTTTGTTCTTTCGCGGTCATTAGTACGCAGGTAAATCTAATCGCATTTACCTATTGATTTCGCTTCCATTTTTATTGTTTCACTATTTCTCCTAATATATTTTTCCTTGTCTGTTTATTTACGTTCTTTAAAGATGTCAGGTTGACTTCGGAAATTAATGCAGTTTGTTATGTTCTTTCAGTAACAATTATATGCGACCTACTTTAAAAGTCTGATGATGAAGGAATTTTAGCAACAGTGAATACCTTACACACACACATACACACACACACACACACACACACACACACACACACACACACACACACACACACACACACACACACACACACACACACACACACACACACACACACACACACACACACACACACACACACACACACACACCACGCACACACACTCACATACACACACACACACACACACACACACAATGTATATACGTGAGTCGATCTCTTTAAATGTCCTCACGATAATATTTATTTACCGCCTTATTAAACATTACGTGAACTTATCTCCATTTTTTCTTTTCTTCTATTTTCTCAGAGATACTGCCATATAAGTAGTAGAAGTATCTAAATGTTGCGTAAACAACCGTTCAATTTGTCCTGAGTAAAATTGAAAATATGAATAGATAAATAGATTGATGTGTGTGTATATATATAAATAAAATAATAAATAAATAAATATATGAATAAATAAATAAACGAAAAATAAACTGGGTAAAACGGATAACGTTAAATCGGTAATCTATCCAAGCCTGATGAAAGAAAAGTGTTATCTCTGGTAAGGTGTAGGAGAGGAATACAAATCAGGGATGGGGTGTATAAAACAAGAGAGGAAATCACATGTGAAAGGCTTTGGTGAAGTAGATATTGTCTTTTCAGTTTTTTGTTAGATTTCTTCGTTCTTTGTTTTTTCCTTAGTTTATCATTTTCATTTACTTTATTCTTTGATTGTTGTTGTTGTCTTTATCATTGCTATCATCATCGTTATTTTTATTATAATTATTTTTATTATCATCACCATTATCAATATTATTGTTGTTGTTGATGTTATCATCATTATAATTTGGATTATTAGTAGTACTGTTATCATTATCATTATCATCATTATCATCACCATCACAATCATCAGCAGCAGCACCAGCAGCATTATCATCATCATCACCAATAGTATTATTATCATAATGATTACATTACTATTATTATTACTATTATTATCATAATGATTACATTACTATTATTATTACTATCATTGCTGTTGTTATTATCATTATTATCATTATCATAGTTGTTATCATTGCTTTTGTTTCTATTATTATTACCATTATTGTTATTGTTGTTATCATTATCTCATAATTATTCATTATTGTTATCATTATCATTATTATTGTATGTTTAGCACGCAACTCAAGAACTAGAGATTAAAAAAAACACATGATAGTGTAGTGGTGATTAACAGAGTGACTTCTAATGTTGATGTTCGTGGTGTGGTGTTTAGCCGTATCATGGGCTATTCTTAACCCTAATTGAGCCGATTGTGACTCCCCCCCCCCCTTTTAATAACAAAAGAAAAACAAACAAAACAAACAAAAACTCAAGTTAGCGGAAGCAAACGAAAATAAACGTGCCAAGAAATCAAAGTATTAAAACAAAAACAAAAATTAAGAAGGATGGGGTAAACTCAAAGCGAGGAATTGGAGGAAACAAAAATATATGTAGAATAACAGAAATAAAATCTCCATTTATTCACAGGAAGCTACAGGAATATCTCGTGGCCCTTCCGGATTATTCTCGGTCACAGGAGCTAACCAGAAAAATACATAAATCTTCCTGAATACTTAATTCGTCCGGAGCTCTGTAGAAGTCCTCTCAGTTCCTCTCATCACAATCAACTGACGTGAGGCAGGAATTTCCTGAGTCTCCATGATCATTTTTTAAAATATATTCGATTTCTTTTATTGTTATAGGTTTTATTAGTATTATGTATACTTGGAGATGTTCCGGAGTAGATGTTTTTCTCTATATTACTTTAACATTTATTCATTCGTATTTGAAGAAAATATCCCCAGGTGGCGCCCGTAGTCGCAACGAAAACGCGGGGGGTAACTTAGTTCCTGGCCCTCACGGGGCCACTACAGTGACACCACAGAGGTCGAGAGAGAGAGAGAGACAGACAGACAGACAGACAGACAGACAGACAGACAGACACAGACAGACAGACAGACAGACAGAGAGGGAGACAGAGAGTTAGGTAGATAGATAGATAAAGAGAGACAGTAACAGACAGTTAGAAAGAAAGGAAAAAAGAAAAGCGAAAGCGTGAGAGCGTATATATGTGTGTAGTAATGCACGCGGGGGGAGCACTGCCTAACGAACATGCAAAACACTACGACCCATACCGTAATATCGCGTCATGGTGATTCTACGCTTCACTGAATGGGTCACAACATACAGCTTTCCACCAAACACATACTTTCTCTCTTTTTTTAATCCATGCTGACCACATATAACAGAAACACAAACATAACATTATTCTCACCACAATAAACGAGGAATATGGAGAGATACAATCGTCAACCAATTAGAAGAAGGAAATATAAACAAAATTAATTACAGGAAAAATGGATGAATTCATAATATATAATATATATATATATTATATATATATATATATATATATATATATATATATATATATATATATGTGTGTGTGTGTGTGTGTGTGTGTGTGTGTGTGTGTGTGTGTGTGGTGTGTGTGTTGTGTGTGTGTGTGTGTGTGTGTGTGTGTGTGTGTGTGTGTGTGTGTGTGTGTGTGTGTGTTGTGTGTTGTGTGTGTGTATATATGTATGTATATAATATATATATATATATTATATATATATATATATTATATATATATATATATATATATATATATATATATATATATATATATATATATGAAGATGGAGTTCCACATGTCAATCAATTAAAAGAATAAAAATTAAAAACAGAATTAAAACCACAAAAAAATTTCATGAATTCGTAATTACTATTCAACCAATTAAAAGAACGAACTAAAAACAAAATTATAAAAAAAACGATTTAAAATCACAAGAAAAATCGATGAATTCATAATTACTGAAATGAACGCTTGCATCCAAACTGCCTTCACCTAACTCACCTGGAATCAACCCCTGTATTGATGTGGATGGATTGGCCTCCCAGAGAAAACCAATTTACGTATTAGAGGGATTACGTCAGCGGACTATGGTAGGGGGGTTACATCAGCTGATTTTGCACATCGGAGGATTACATCAGCTGATTTGATCTTGTTAAGCGGATTACACCAAACGATTTTGCATGACGGGGGATTACCTCAGCTGATATGGGCTTGAAAACTGTTTGTACAACTGATTTTGCTTGTAATGGGGATTACATCAGCTGATTTGGGCTTGAAAACTGTTTGTACAACTGATTTTGCTTGTAAAAGGGATTACATCACCTGGCTGGGCTTGTTAGGTGGCTTGCATACTGATTATCTTTAAATGGCGGATTGCCTCAACTGATTTTGCACGGCGGGGGATTACTTCAGCTGATTTGGGTTTGCTAGGCAGATTTCCTGAACTGATTTTCTTTGTTGGGCGGATTGCATCAACTGATTTGGCTTATTAGGGGAAAAACATTAGTGATTTTGCAAGTTTGGGCGTGTTAGGCGGATTACATTAACTTATTTTCTTTGTTAGGCGGATTGCATTAGCTGATTTCGCATGACGGGGGCTTACATCAGCTGATTTGACTGGGCCTTAGTTTCGGGATCATAATGATGCTCTCAAGTTTCATCCTGTGCAATTAGTCCGTCCAAAAAGTCTTGGTATTCATGGCACATGACCAAAAGGGCCTTGGAACAATGGACTCGTTCCTGCTTTTAGAAAGGTGTGAGCAGCCTGGAAAACCATCGAGCAGACAGCTTTTGCATATGCAGATGTTCATGGATGATTTTGTTCACAGACCCAACAATAATTTTGACATCTTGGACTAGCTGACGAACAGTAATACAGTGATCTACCAAAATGGCAGTCGCCATTTGAAGGATGGTGTCTTCATCTGTGGCAGATTGGGGTTGCCCTGGGATACAAGCCATTTCCACAGATCTTCAACCACACCTGAACTGGCAATGCCAATGGTTAACATCGTCATATGATGAGGCATCCTACCTGTAAGTTGCTTTCATTTCATCGAAGGTCTCTTGTGGTGTGCAGCCTTTCAAGTATAAAACCTGTAAACTGTTTAATAATCCACAGGTTCCATTATCACACCTTACTGCACCTTCACAAATGTAAAATAAAATATGTGTTTAGTTAAGGACCTATAGAGATGTATATCTTTATGCATGTGAAATTGGGTCAGGAGAAATCTTTAATGAGCACCCCCTCTGTGTGTGTGTGTGTGTGTGTGTGTGTGTATGTGTGTGTGTGTGTGTGTGTGTGTGTGTGTGTGTGTGTGTGTGTGTGTGTGTGTGTGTGTGTGTGTGTGTGTGTGTGTGTGTGTGTGTGTGTGTGTGTGTGTGTGTGTGTGTGTGTGTGTGTGTGAGAGAGAGAGAGAGAGAGAGAGAGAGAGAGAGAGAGAGAGAGAGAGAGAGAGAGAGAGAGAGAGAGAGAGAGAGAGAGAGAGAGTGTGTGTGTGTGTGTGTGTGTGTGTGTGTGTGTGTGTGTGTGTGTGTGTGTGTGTGTGTGTGTGTGTGTGTGTGTGTGTGTGTGTGTGTGTGTGTGTGGCATTTCTCATAGAGGTATGTGTGCATGTATATATATTTATATACATTTCAAATATTTATTTTTCTTTAATGGAATATAAAAACATCCAAGCTCATTATAGGATTTATTAGCATTTGTATAAATTAACGCTTCACAGGCTGAAGACTTGGAAGATGACACCTTATGCAACTTGGCAAAGGTGTTCATTTAACTTTGTAACATTATCACAGTAAAATATTGAGAACATTAACTATAAAACATGATCACGTAATACTTACAAAAATAACTGTATAATCATTTAAGTCATACTTTGGACACAATTTGTATTTATTGCTGGTCTAAAACTGCCAAAGCCAGACCTCCAAATTAAGAGAAAAGGCGAAAGTAAAAGACCGAGATGATTAATATTCAGCAATGTAATGAATATCAAAGCACCATCACGAAAAGCGAAATTAAGGAGTGCAAGCATTCCCTCTTTAGCATTGCAAGTTGCAGGACTATTGTCGGAATTTAATATCACAGCAGACCAAACAAGATGTTATTCCTGAAACCAAGGGATGTTAATGGTGTTAGAGAACTAAAGATATAAATTCTTGGATGGTGAAAATAGGAACTTCAAAAACACTTAAAAAGAAAATTTCCATGGAACTAAATAAAACTAGACGATGAATTAAAACTGATTTACAAACCTTCAGCTTAACTCAGTTGTAGTTGTGCATTTTCTAAAAGTTTGGTGAAGGTAAAGCTATACCTATTTATATTTCAGCTTAAAGTAGTGTTCAGATTTAAGTACAGTACTGTATTTTAGACTTAGGCTCATAGAATTATAAGTCCTTCCAATGTATCAAGGCTCACATTTAATATTTCTTATAACAAACAAGTATACATCAGTCTCTTTCCTTTAAACTCATGTATATAAATACACACATCCATAATATAATTTGTTTTATGTTCAGTGCTCACAAGAACGTGACTTAAAAGAACAAATATCAATGTTATTGATATGACCTATAGTTTAATTATACACAATCTGAAATCTTTCTATGTCCATTCTGCATAAATTTTTTATAACAGGATATGCATTTTCAGTGCTTAAATGCATGTAACTAGTTCATCATTGAACTATATACAATAAAACTTTAACATTAACACATGGCCACTATATTTATTCTTCTTTCCTATGTTATTATTTCAAGGCTCAGTTTAACACCACTGTAAATTTTTGAAATTCCACTATTGAATCTTTCATGAAATTTGCTGATAATTAACATTCAACCTCACACATTTTATCATTACTGGAATAATGACAGTGTATGATATCTGCATCTCTGGGCCTTGCAATACAAACACTCAGTTTCACATATATGCTAAAGAGCTACACTCAAGGGACAATTAAGACACCAGTTATGAGCATATAGGATAATTAGAGGTCTAGTATGACAAGGTAGTTTTAAATCATAGTTTTGTATTGTTGCTACGAGCTCTCTGTTTGAAAGTTGCTCCATTGGCTCTCCCTAAGTTTCCTTCTAAATGCTCTAGTGGTATAAAAATACAAGATATGCTTCGGTGAATATAAATAGGATAATGGCAAGCATGATTAACACTAACTGATATGCCTTTCAAAGCAAGAATGCAAGAGGGTTTGAATCCCCCTCTTTATTCTTGATCCCACAAGAATGTCTCATATAATTTGGCAAACAATTCACATAAGAAAATGTCTATGGCAGAGATTATGTGGACAAGACCGATACTATGTGAAGACTACAGTCATTGTTTACATGCAGCTTGAAATTATCTTGTCAAAAATTGATATGTCTAATTGTACACATTTATCATACTCATTTACACTCTTTTAATGGTACTATACATGTACAGGGGTCACAACTCTACTCCTTGAAAATAAATACATTCAAGTTCACAATAAATTCTTCTTTGAAATATTTCACCAAACCTACTTTGCAATTTTGCCACCCATCCAGTTCTCTACTCCAGTCCTTTACACAACTGGGGGAAAAAAATCCTTTTTATCTTCCTGTCCCATTATTTTTTCATTCTGGAAGCCTTGAACTTCGATATCTTCTTGGTCTGTGTCCCGTCACCTGATTCTGGTTGAGCAACGGCACCCGTTTGTGCATCACCACTCTCCTCCTTTTCTCCTACGTTCCGTTCCACAACCTTGTACGAGAAGGCCTGTAAAAGACACAAGATAACTTATGAACTATGATATGCAAATCACAGCAGATTTAACTGTAAGATGCCTGATTTGTATTTTGATCTTAACTTGATAAACTGATGTATACAAAATATTTCCAAAATATTTGTCAGACCAACCTAAAACAAAAGCCTTCAAAAATTTATCAGTCTATTGGACTTTTTTGTGGGGTTATAATTTCATTATTTCTAATAATCACTGCTATTTATAATATCAAAATAAACTCAAAATAGGAAAAAACAGATTAAAATTTGGATTTCTTTAAGATGAAGTGAAGATGACAATGATGATGAATGACAGTGAGAGTATAAAGTCGAGTTGTTCAGATAAAAATTATTGAGGTGAAGGTGAACGAAAAAGTGAAGGCAGTTTTAATTTAAGGTGAAGTATGTGGTTTAAGTTGAGTTGAAGATGAAGCAGAAGTTTAGCTGAGTGATGAGGTGAAGTAAAGGTTAAAGTTAGTTAAAGTTTAAAGTAAAGTTATAAGTTAAATTTAATGTTAAATTGAGTTAATAGTTAATAGTTATATTAATTAGTATTATAGAATATTAAAGTTAAAGGTTTAGAAGAACAATGAAGAAGAACCACAATGAAGATAAAGAGGTAAAATAAAAGATAAAGATAGAGATGAAGATAAACAAGAAAATATTATATTGTGAAACCAAAGATGTGGATGAATATGAAGTTAAGATGAGGCTGAAGAAAAAGGCAAAGACAGATAAAGAAAAAGAAACAGAGGAAAAGAAAGAACAAAAATACTACAGAGAGGATAATGAAAGAATATAACGGAAATGAAAAGGAGGAGGAGGAGGACAGTAAGGAGTAGGAGCGATAGGCATCTGAGTGTAGACAATCTATAATAATATATATATATATATATATTATATGGTATATAATATATAATATAATGCATGTATATAATATATAGATATATAGAGGAGGAGGAGGAGTGAGAGGAGGAAGGAGGAGGAGTAGAGAGATAGAGGAGGAGTAGGGAGGAGGAGGATGAGAAAGAAGAGGAAAGAAGAAGGAGGAGGAAGGAGGTAAGAAAGTAAGGTAGGATAAGGAGGAGGAGGAGGAAGAAGAGAAAGGAAGAAGATAGGAAGGAGGAAGGAGAAAGGAGGAGGAGGAAGAATGATAAGGAGGAAGGAGGTGGAGAAGAGAGCAGGAAGGAAGAGGAAGAAAGAGGAGTGAGAGAAGGAGGAGTGAGGCAGAAGGAAGGAGGAGAGAGACGAGTATAAAGGAGGAGGATAGGAGAAGGAGAGAGGAAGAATTAGGAGAGTGAGGTGGAGGAAGCAGCAGTAGGAAGAGGAGGAGAAGGAAGGAGAGGAGGAGGAGAAGGAGGAGAGAGGAGAGTAAGAGGAGGTAAGGAGAGAGGAGGAGGAGGAGAGGAGGAGGAGGAGGAGGAGGAGGTGGAGAAGAGGAGAAAGAATAGTGAAGAAAGAGGAGGAGGAAGAGGAGGAGTAGGAATAGGAAGGAGGAGGAATGAAAGAGGAGGATGGGAATAGAGGATGAGTAGATAGTAGGTAAGTGAGTGGAAGAGAGGAGAAAGGAAGAAGGAGAAGGAAAATAGGAAATAAGGAAAAAGGAAAAGGAAAAAATAATAGTAATATATATGGAAGAATATATATAGTATGTAATGTATATATATATATTATATATAATATATATATATGTATGTATAATAATATATATATATAAATAATATACTGATGTATGTATGTATATATATATATGTATGTTAATATGGTATGTATAGTATATATAATAAATATAATATATATATATATATATATATGTAATTATGTTATGTTATAGACTATATAATGTATGTATATTATAAATATATATATGTATATAATATTAATATATCACATATATATACATATAATATAACATATATATATGTACGTATATATATAATGCATATAATATAATAATATATAATATATTAATATATATATATAATAATATATATAATTATATTATATATATATATATATATATATATTGCATATATAATATATATTAATATATATATTAATATATAAACCAAAATATATATATAATAGCATATATAAGTTAGGCTATATATATATAATATGTAATGTATGTATGTATAATAAATATGAATATAATATATATATATATATTTATATATTATATTATATATATATGTATGTATATATTATATAATAATTATATATATATAATATATATATATTATATAAATATATATTTGAATATAGTAGCATATAGTATATGTATGTATATATAAATATAATGTTATATAGTATACATATATAATATATATGTATAGTATGATGTATATATACAATATTTTATAATATATATATATATATATATAATATATATAATATATAGATAAATATGCATATATATGCATATATATATGCATATTTATTGCCCATCATATATAATAATATATGCATATTTTATGCATATATATAATTATTGTATATAATAGGCATTTTATGATTTGTATTATAGCTATATATATGGATATATATATGCATATATATGCATTATAATATGGGCATATAGATATATCCATATATATATGCATATATATGCATATAATATCATGATAGTGTATATAATGTATATATTGTTATATATATATAATATATATATTTATATATATATATATAATTATATATAGTAATATGTTGTCTGTGTGTGGTGTGGTGTGTGTGTGTGGCGTGTGTGTGTGTGTGTGTGTGTGTGTGTGTTGTTTCTTGTGTGTGTGTGTGTGTTTGTGTGTGTGTGTGTGTGTTGTGTTGCAGAATATAATTTATATATATGCATATATATGCATAAATATGCATATATATGTATCGATAATGTATATATATGTATAATAAGTATAGTATGTTATATGTAATATATGTATATAGTAATATATATATATATATATATATTAATAAATTATATATAATATAATATATATATATATATATATAGTATATATTGCGTGGTGGTCGTTGTGTGTGTGTGTGTGTGTGTGTGTGTGTGTGTGTGTGTGTGTTGTGTGTTGTGTGTGTGTGTGTGTGTGTGTGTGTGTGTGTGTGTGTTGTGTGCCGTGTGTGTGTGCGTTGTGTAGTGTGTTGTGTGGTGCGTGTAATATAATATATATATAATATATATATATATATATATATATAATATGAGTAATATAGTACAAATATAATAATAACTAATATACATAATATATACTTAATATATATAATATATATATATAATAATATTATATATATTAATATATTTTATATTTATATATATATAATAATATTTATTATTAATATATATATATATTCTATAATTATAATATATTTAATATAATTATTAAAAGTGGATTTAATATATATGATAAAAGTGAGAATATAATTATAAAAATATAATTATATAGAATATATATAATATATAGTATATATAGTATAATATATATATATATATATATATAATCTTTATATAAAAAAAATAAATGTATATTATATATTACATTATACATATTATATTCATAATATATTATATATATATACAATATATACATATATATAATATATATATTATATATATATATATATAATAATTATAATATATTATATATAATACATATATGTACAAATATATATATATATGTGTATATTAATATATATATATATATATAGTATATATATATATATATATACATAATATATATATAGTATATTATATATAATAGTATATAATCATAATAAGTATATATAATATTTTAATATTATATTACATATATATATAATATTAGTATAATATAATAATGAATATTATATATATATATATATATATATATATATAATATATATATTATGTAATATTTTATAGAAATAATAAACATAAAATATATAATACAAAGGAAAAGGAAAAGTGAAAAAAGTGGATATATAGTAGTATAAAAGAGAAAGGAAAAAGGAAAAGGAAAAAGGAAAAGGAAAGAAAAGGAAAAAGGAGAAGGAGAAGGAGAAAGGAGAAGGAGGAGAGAAGGAGAAGGAGAAGGAGAAGGGAGAAGGGGAGGGGAAGGGGAAGGGGAAGGGGAAGGCGGAAGGGGAGGGGAAGGAGAAAGGAGAAGAGAAAGGAAGAAGGGAAAGGGGAAGGGAGGGGAAGGGGAGGAGAAGAAGGAGAAGGAGAAGGAGAGGAGAAGGAGAAGGAGAAAGGAGAAGGAGAAGGAGAAGGAGAAGGAGAAGGAGAAGAAGGAGAAAGAAGGAGAAGGAGAAGGAGAAGGAGAAGGAGAAGGAGAAGGAGAAGGGAAGGGGAAGGGAGAGGGGAAGGAGAGAAGGAGAAAAGTAGAAGTAGAAGAGGAAGGGGAAGGAGGGAAAGGGGAAGGGAGAAAGGAGGGGAAGGGGAAGAAGGGAAGTGAGGAAAGGGAAGAGAAGGTAGTAAGGGAAGGGAGGATAGGGAGGGGGAAGGAGGAAGAGGGAAGGGAAGGGAAGGGGAAGTAGGGAAGAGAAAGGAGAGAAGGAGAAGGGGAAGAGGAGGAGGGAAAAGGGAAGGAGAAGAGAGGAGAAGAGAAGGAAGAAAGATGAGAAGGAGAAGGGGAGAGGAGGGAAGAAAGGAGAAGTAGGGATATGAGGAGAAGGAGAGGGAGAAGGAGAAGGAGAAGGAGAAGGAAGGAGGGAGAAGAAGAAGGAGAAGGAGAAGGAGGAGAAGGAGAAGGAGAAGAGGAGAAGGAGAAGGAGAGAAGGAGAAGGAGAAGGAGAAGGAGAAGAGAGAGGAGAAGGAGAAAGGAAAGGAGAAGGAGAAGGAGAAGGAGAAGAAGAAGGAGTAAGTATGGAAAGTGAGAAGGAGAAGGAGAAGGAGAGAGAAGGAGAGAGAAGGAGAAGGAGAAAGGAGGAGAAGGAGAAGGAGAAGGAGAAGAAGGAGAAGGAGGAGAAGGAGAAGGAGAAAGGAGAAGGAGAGGAGAAGGAGAAAGGAGAAGGAGAAAGGAAGAGAAGGAGAAGGAGAAGGAGGAGAAGGAGAAGGAAGAAGGAAAGGAGGAGGAGAATGAGGAGGAGGGAGAAGGAGAAGGAGGAGAAGGAAGAAGGAGAAGGGAAGGAGGAGAAGGAGAAAAGAAAGGAGAAGGAGAAGGAGAGGAGAAGGAGAAGGAGGAAGGAGGAGGAGAGAGGAAGGAGAAGGAGGGGAGAAGGAAGAAGGAGAAAGGAGAGAGGAGAGTAGAAAGGAGAAAGAGGGAGAATGGAGAAGGAGAAGGAGAAGAGAGAGAGGAGAAAGGAGAAGGAGAGAGGAGAGAAGGTAAGAAGTGAGAAGGAGAAGGGAAGAGAAGAGAAGAGAGGAGGAGGAGAAGGAGAAGGAGGAGAAAGAGAAGGAGGAGAGAGAAGAGAAGGAAAGAGAAGGAGAAGGAGGAAGGATGAAGGAGAAGAAGGAGAAAGGGAGGAGAAGGAGAAGGAGAAAGAAGAGGAGAAGAGAAGAAGAGGAGAAGGAGAAGGAGAAGGAGGAGAAGGAGAAGGAGGAGAAGAGAGGAAGGAGAGAGAAGAGAGGAGAAGGAGAAGGGAGAAGGAAGGAGAAGGAGAAGAGAGAAAGGAGGAAGAAGGAGAAGGAGAAGGAGAAGGAGAAGGAGAAGAAGAGAAGGAGGGAGAAAGGAGAAGGAGAAGGAGGAGAAGGAGAAGGAGAAGGAGGAAAGGAGAAGGAGAAGGAGAGGAGGAAGAAAGGAGAAAGAGAGAGGAGAAGGAGAAGGAGGAGAAGGAGAAGGAGAAGGAGAGAAGGAGAGGAGAAGGAGAAGAAGGAGAAGGAGAAGGAGGAGAAGGAGAAGGAGAAGAAGGAGAAGGAGAAGGAGAAGGAGAAAAGGAGAGGAGAAGAGGAGAAGGAGAAGGAGAAAGGAGAAGGAGAAGGAGAGAAGGAGAAGGAGAAAGGAAAAGGAGAAGAAGAGAAGAAGTAGAAGGAGAAGGAGAAGGAAGAAGAGAAGAAGAAGAAGAAGAAGAAGAAGAAGAAGAAGAAGAAGAAGAAGAAGAAGGGAGGAGGGAAGGGAAGGAGAGAGGAGGAAGGAGGAGGAGGAGGGAGGAGAGGAGGAGAGGAGGAGGAGGAAGAGGAGGAGGAGAGAGAGAAAAAGGAGGAGGAGGAGGAGGAGGAGAGAAAAAGGAGGAGAGAGGAGGAAGAGGAGGAAGGAGGAGAGGAGAGAGGAAAGAAGAAGAGAAGGAGAAGGAGAAGGAGGAAGAGAAGGAGGAAAGGAGGAGGAAGAGGAGAAGGAAGGGAGAAGGAAGGAAAAGGGAAGAAGGAGAAGGAAGGAAGGGAAGGAGAAGGAGAAAGGAGAAGGAGAAAGGAGAAAGGGAAGAGAAGGAAGGGGAAGGAGAAAAGGGGAGAGGGAAGGGGAAAAGGGGGGAAGGGAAGGAGAAGAGGGAAAGGGGAAGGGAAAAGGGGAAGGGGAAAGGGGAAGGGGAAGGGAAGGAAGGAGGAGAGAAGAAGGAGAAGGAGAAAGGGAAGGAAAAGGGAAGGAAAAAGTAAGAAGGGAAGGAAAGTAGAAGGGAAGGAGAAGTAGAAGGGGAAGGAGAAGTAGAAGGGAAGAGAAGTAAGAAAGGGAAGGAGAAGTAGAAGGGGAAGAAGGAAGGAAGTAGAAGGGGAAGGAGAAAGTAGAAGGGGAAGGGGAAGGAAGAAGCAGAAGGGGAAGGGAAGGAGAAGCAGAAGGGGAAAGGGAAGGAGAAGCAGAAGGGAAGGGGAAGGAGAAGAGAAGGGAAGGGGCAAGGGCAAGGGGCAAAGGCAAAGGCAAGGGGCAAGGGCAAGGGCAAAGCGGCAAGGGCAAGGAGAAGGAGAAGAGAAGGAAGAAGGAAGAAGGGATAAAGAAGATAGAAGAAGAAAAGAAGAAGAAAGAAGAGGGAGGAGAGAAGGGGAAGGAGAGGAGGAGGAGAGGAGGAGGAGGAGAGGAGGAGAGAGGAGGAGGAGGAGGAGGAGGAGGAGGAGGAAGGAAGCAGGAGGAGGAGGAGAAAGAGGAGGAGAGGAGGAGAGGAGAGGAGCAGGAGGAGGAGGAAGGAGGAGAAAAGGAGGAAGGAGGAGGAGGAGAGAGGAGGAGGAGGGAGAGAAGGAGAAAAAGGAGGAGGAGGAGGAGAAAAAGGAGGAGGAGAGAGAGAAAAAGGAGAAAGGAAGGAGAGGAGAGAAAAAGGAGGAGGAGGAGAAAAGAGAAAAAGGAGGAAGGAGGAGGAGGAGAAGGAGGGAGAAGAAGGGAGAGGAGGAGGAGAAGAGGAAGGAGGAGGAAGAGGAGGAGGAGGAGTGAGAGGAGGAGGAGGAGGAGGAGGAGGAGGAGGAGGAGGAGGAGGAGGAGGAAGGAAAGGAAGGAGGAGGAGAGGAGGAAGAACAGAAGAAGAAGAAGAAGAAGAAGAAGAAGAAGAAAGAAAAAAGAAGAAGAAGAAGAGAAGAAAAGAAGAAGAAAAGAAGAAGAAGAAGAAAGGAAAGAAAAGAAGAAAAAAAAAAAAAAAAAAGAAGAAGAAAGAAGCAGATCTTACCGGTTGCAGTGACTTTCTCTTCAGTGGAGGAGACGGTCTGAGGGGCTTAGGGAGTGGCAAATCGTCCATATCTTCTGTCACTATTTCAACCGACTCTGGGGCATAGCGCCAACCACCTTTGTTATTGGATTCACTTTCACCTAATATGGAAAAGCAAAAATGCAATGATATGTAAAATTCATAAAAATCTATACTAATACCATATCACTCACTAACTATTTAATGGATGAATTGATGCATTCACTTAATATACAAATTATCAATTAACTTATGAATTAAATTTTTCACATAATTTATCAAGATGTTATATATATAAACAATGGTCTACCTAAACCTATATACAAAAAAAAAAAAAGATACATGCACTGACATATTCCTTTTACATCCTCCCATCCACAGCATTAAGGAAAAAAACACTAACCTTGCAGAGGCAAAGACGAGGATTTCTTCAGTATTCCTCGAGGGTGAGGTTCATGGCTCGCACTGGCACCCCCAAAAACCTTGTAGATATCTGAGGGGCTCCTGACCATTAGGGATTTGCCACCCTGGCTCTCCGCCATCATGGCTGTCGTCCCACTTGCACCTTCTCCACCTTCATCAGCAGGAGAGAGCTCACATGCAGACGAGTATTTGATGCGAAAGATGTCATCACTGGTGTTGTCAGGGATGATAGTCTCCAGGGGCTTGATGTCATCAGCCCAGGACACACGCCTCTTGAGCTTCTCCCTTTTCTTTGGTATGACGGCGGCGATGCTAGGCTTTGCTTCAACCTCTAGGGCAGCAGCTTCAATCAGCTTTGGCTCTTCTTTCACTACTACCCTATCAAGCATGGGTACTTCTTCCTCTTCTTCTTCCTCATATTCTTCATTCCAGTTGCTATCTTCATCCTCCTCCTCTTCTTCTTCTTCATCTTCTTCTTCTTCTTCTTCTTCTTCTTCTTCACTAGATGCATCACTGGAGAAATTAAGATATTGAAGTTTGTTGAAATTTATACTGATATTTTCTCTGTGTATTATGTCATATGAAAACTATTAAAAAATGGCATTATCTAAAGTAATTCCATCATCTTGTGCTGTAATAACAAAAAAATGTTCAATCCAAGTATCTTATCTTTATAGACATTATCATCTTTCTTGTTTGAAAACAGGTTTTTCATTCCCTACTTACCTCCACAGTTCATCATCAAAATTATCTTGCAGTGTCTAAAAAAAGTTAATCATGACAAGCATCTAACTATAAATCAGGTAATGCCCAGAAGAAGCAATATAGCAGAAGGCCTTTGCATAATTTGTGTGGTTTTCTTGTTTTTCTTTATTTTCCTTGAAATTTGTTCAATATGAATCCTGCACAGGTAATCCATGTCTGCATGTGTGTCACTGTGTGTTTGTATTCTCAGGATCCAACACAGTGCAGTGTCAAGTGTCAAGTTAATTAGACAAATTATGAAATTGTAATCTATAAATCAAAATAATAGCTATTTCTTCCAAAAGCAGCAGGGAAGTAGCCATAACATGCTTAAAGAAGTTGTGGGGAAAAAGGGGCTTATGATATGATTATGATGCTTGGTCAAGGGTGTAGTTGTCTGCATTTTGTTTAACTACAAATGTTAATACATATAAATAGTAAAATTCATATAATATCACTGCAAATAACATATTCTATATAACTATTTGTCAATGAATAATTCAAATGTGTTATGATTAATAGTGAATCTAATAACACTTACACGTATCAGCGACGATCACGACTAATGCCACACACCACACACAGCAGAACACCATTCACACCACCACACATCACGCTCCATCACGACATATAATAATATTTAGTGCTTGAGAGCATTAATCATTGAAAAAGAGGTTAAAACAAGGTAAACTATGTAATGTTGATTCAAAATTCATCTTATAATAACTGATTCCATGTGTAATATGTCATATGATTTTATATAATAAATTACAAAGTATAGTAGAGTGAACACTGGAGCTACAGTGTAATAAATAAATTCCAAAGCACAAATAGATACCTCATAACAGCAATATTTTCTAAACAGGTTACAATTATGGCTAATTAATTCCTATAATTATCTTTTGGCTGTAATTGAAATATTATCTATGTAAATAAATATATACAATCCTACATCGCTGTAACAAGTAATTAACTAAGCACCAAACAATACAATTTCAAATTTAACAGAATAAATAACAATAATTAGTCACACTTTTTCTTATTTATCCTATTATGAGATATATTCAAACTTGTGAATTAATTAATAATAAAACTAATAACAGAAAACCACTAATCATACAAGCCCAAAGCAACATGGCTACAGAGCAAATCCACTTCAGAATCTTAGTGAATTAAATCATGATGAGATAAATTGATTACGCACTCATACTTAAATAACTTAATCTCTTCTACTACCAGCTTTAACATGTGTGCGAAGTTCATGTCTAGGCGCCTATGTCGTGTACACTATATTGAGATATACTTAATCCGTTATGAGTAGCGTATGTATTCCTAACACTGAGCCTCTCATAAAGTGGGCCTTCTGATTTTGATAGTACCACAGGTTCAATTTCTGTTCCTCATAAGTAAAAGAACACTCATAATATATAAATTGCACTATATATCAATAACAGTATAACATATAAAATTCCCGAGCTACACTCTTTTTATTGAGTTTACCTCTGCAAAGTGAAATATATTACCAATTAATAACTGATAAAACTAATAATATTATAGAAAAAACTCAAAAATTAAATAAATCTTACCCATAGAAGAATCACATATTAAGAATCATAAAATATTGCCATATAATAAATAAAATAACAAATTATCCAATAGCACTATACCACACTAACTCACTACACCACCAAACGCACTTTAACAATAAAAACAATAATGTAAGAAATAAGGCAATATTGCGATAATGCTAATAGCAATTGAGCAAAAGAGGAACAAGTGAGAGAGTCTTCATACAATGCAGAATGTTCAATAAGCAGGCCAGGTAATGCCTACATACACTAAGGATCAGAAAACATGTTATAAGCTAATGCCCAGATTTTTGTCCAAGCAATAATATAGTGGAGGCACCCAGGTCCAAGGGATAATGAAAATTTTACATTAATTATAGAAGAGTATATACATGCACATAATCAAATATACTTTTCCAAAAGTATGATTATGCAATTATCATTATTCATAAATAAGGTCCGCAACTTGGTTCAATCTTGGACAAACTCCTGAGATCAATGCCAATAATTGTCATGATTATTGAGGTTACATTTATTTCAATTAGTATAATAATTATTAGATATGTAAATTTAATAATATTACATTTCTGTTAGCAATCTTAGGGGGCTGTTGAAAAAATCTTCAAAACTAATACACTAGAACATATTTCCTTTCTTTGTGTGCTGGAGTCCACATTCATAGGTCTGTTAAATAAAAGGAGCTATGAAGGCTTACATGCTGGCCCTGAATGGTAATTATACCTATAGTACTACCTAATATGATCTTGAATTTTAGAATTTTTTAAAATCTAAATATATAATGCATTACTTCCTGTTAATTTATTTTAACAATAAACATTAAGATTATTTAGAACGATATGTAATTTGTAAGAGACTGACTGAGAAGAATCTCTATGCCATTAAATAATTTAGGGATTAAGTAAGGAATATGACATAGTCTGCGGGAATTGTCTGTTAGTGTGTGGAGTATAAATCAGTTGGATCAGTCTCTGAGTCTCGATCTTCTGTTAGTGTTCTGTTTCAGCTTGTGTTCGAGTGTGTTTAATGTTTGTGTGTCGCCTCTTGTAAGTTAGGATTGTGTTGTAGTTTGATGTCGTGATGAGTAATAAGAGATGTATTGGTTTGTCAGTGTTGTGAGTGATACCTATCTGTAATAAGTTGAAAGAGCCTATGTAACATATACATGAATGAAATTAAATTTAAAAATTTTGTGAGTGTAGTAGCAGCTCAATAGTAAATGCCTTTATCAGAGAATAAAATGAGAAAGTATGCTATATTCATGGACACCAGAGACTTGAGGGACATAATCTTTTCCACTCATTAATAAAAAAAGTAGTTATAAAGAAACTCACAATGAATAGTGTATTTTTTAAAATTTTGCTGTAACTTCAAAAACTGAACTGACTTTTATTTAATTGATAAGTTATATTGGGTATATCGTAAACTAATAGTCACCAGAGAAAGAATATATGTGTTATTATAACTAATAATTCAATAATATTAATCTATATATAATAAATATAACCATACGATAAAAGGGCACTGAGTGATATTTTAATCCACAATCTACTGATTATGTATCAAACTTTTGACTCACCTACAAATGTCTTACAATCGACTCTTCTGGTATTCTTAACTTACCGTCACTTTTCAACACAATGTCTACCTGGTCACCCATATCCCCCTTAAGCACCTCTGCTGTCTCCTTCAACCAATTCAAATGAATCTTCTCTGTAGTTTCAGCTGTTTTAATTTTTTCATCACAATCTGAAAAATGAGGATTATTTAATTTTTCTATTAGCTTTCTCTTGGGTACATTTAGTCATAAAAAGATCTTGTAAGTCTTACTTGCATAACAAGGAACTGTTATATATACATATATATACATATATATATATAATATATATATATATATATATATATATATATATATATATATATATATAAACATATATATATATACTATTTATATAAGATAATAATAGATAGATAGTATGTAGAATCGATAGATACGATCAGATCGAATCAGAATCGACAGATCGACAGATCGATCAGATAGACAGATAGATAGATAAATAGATATGTATATCAGATAGATAGATAGATAGATTAGATAGATAGATAGTAATAGATAGATAGATAGATAGATAAGATAGATAATGATAGATAAGAAGATAATAGATAGATAGTAATATAGATATAAGATCTTATAGATAATAAACTATTTTTTATATATGTGACAACAGACAAATATCAGATATAAAACACATAATATCTACATAAATATAAAAAGAAGAGTTGGCCACCCCTTCCGATCTAAGATCTTACAAATATAAAAGAAGAGTTGGCCACCCTGTACAACCTGACAAATTAGAAAAACATCCAAAACTGATGAAACAACTGAAGACTAAGATCATCATCACAAACAGAAGACACAAGATACTAAAGAACCCCACCTTTTAACCTTCTCTTTACAATTTCAATGGCTTGCTTAGCACTTCTCTCGGCAAACCAGTTGTCACCTAGCAGCACCAAGATCTCATTTGTGTGCACAAGTCGCCCTGGCATGAACGCTAGAGAACCAAAGGGCACCATCACCTGAAAGGAGGGACATTGCTTAGCTTTTTTCTATCACTGGTATATCGTTTGTGACACACAATAATACCTTGATATGAAGAAATATGAAAGAAAAAAACATTTAGCTAATTTTAAACTATGATCATATGGAATCAGTTATGCTTAAGACAAGCACACTTACAAATCAAACCACTTACATCATAGGTAGTCTTGTCGGGTAGGGTTTTTAGCCTCTTTTGAAGGTGTAAATAATCTGTGCGGAATTTCTTCAACTGACTGATTTCTGTCTGACATAGGAAGAGTCTCTGCAAACAGGCAAAAATCAATATAGGTATAAATTATGATAATATATAAAACATAATCTAATATAAATACATAGATATTAGATTATGCATGTACACTCTACCGAAGATATAGATAGAGCAACATGTCACATAACTAATAAAGGATGGTTTTGAGCATACATTCTGGGTTAGGTATAGGATATTAATAATATATAGTGCGTGTGGGTGGAGTGAAGTAATAGGTGTGTGGTACAATGGGGTGTATAGTGTGGATATGGGAATATGTATGTGATAAAAGATATGATGTATTGAAAATAGCGTGGATTGGGTATAAGTATGGGTGGATATAAATGGGTATAGTAATGGTGGATATGGGTATTCATGATTATTGGAAGGTAAATTAATAATAGGGTATTTGTATGGATAAGATTATGATTATAATATACAATGTAATAGTAATTAATGGGATGGATATGGGTCACCTGTATGTAGATAATGTATGTAGGTGGTGAGAGGTTGAATTTGGATTGTATTGGATGGATAGATGGAATGTTGCAGATTTATGGTGAATGAGCAAATAGGATGGAATGGGTGAGTGGTGTGGGTTAATGGATGGATGAATGTGAGATATGACATAGATTAGAAAATGGATGGTAATGGATGGATGGATGAAGGGTATGGATAATTAGTGATATATAGAGGTAAGATAGATTATAATTGGATTGAGATAAATAAATATAGTGATAAGATATAGATATATAGTATATGTAGATGGTAATAAAAGAGATGAATGTGAAGGAGAAATCATAGGATATAATGTAGGTAATTGTAGAATAGATGGTATTGGAGATGGATATTGAGAATGGATGGAGATAGGAATTAGATGGATTGGATGGTAATAGGATATTGTATTTGTATATGTATAGATTGATGTATAAAGATAGATATAGATACGATAGATTGATAGATACGATAGATAGATATATGAAGTTATGATAATAAGATAATAAGATGGATGGATGGATGTGATAGGTATTAGATTAGTAAGACTAATAATAGAAAGATGGATGGATGGATGGATGGACAGAAAAATAAATGGATAGCTAGATGGGTTGGTAGATGAATAGATGGACAGAGAGTTCTAAATATCTAATCATATGAAAAATGACCATCCACCTATCACATCACCATTCTTATTTTACACTAATACCATCCAACTAGACATCTCATACTGTGACAAAGTGAGGTTTTGAATATTCCCTTCTTTTCACTCGTTCACCTTACACTGTTCTTTTTGGGGGGATTATGCATCAGAACGTTCCTTCTTAAATGGTTATATATGACATGGATAAATATGGTTTAATATCACTCAACCCTGGTCTAGGCTCAAATGACATGGATAAATATGGTTCAACCAGATGAATACCTTTAACAAAATCTAAGTCTATTCTCAATCCTAAAGACATGATTATTGGTACCTCATCAGGTAATAAAGTTACATAGCATCTCATTATTACATTCTTTTTTAACAAAATTCCTTCTGGTGCCCAGTAGTTCATCATATTCAAAACATTTATGAAAGATTGTAAAACTAACCTCTTCATGGACCTTCTGTAGTTGTGCCAAGCTTTCCAGATTCTCTTTTAGGGAGATCATGGAGGTATCAGGTCGAATGGCACTCGCACTTTCATCATCTTTTCCATCATCACTTGCACTGCTCTCTTCCTTTTCCTTCATCATTTCAACTGCGGAAAAGTATATCATAATTCAGTAACATTCTCGTGTAAACTGAGAAACACATAAAAGTTATAAACTTGAAATTCATGATACCAACATTTTATCTACATCTAGTTTTCATGCTAAAAATGGTATGCAACAAAGTTAATATAAAGAGGAGGATGGAGGAGGGGGAGGCTCTTTAGTTGGGGAACAAAGGATTATGACCAGGATATTAGTAATTGTTACTAGTGGGACCACACCCCAGATAACAATAGGTCACTTGTCATTTGTAGGGCCTGATTTTACACATCACAGGATATGTATGTTTTGCATGATGGTATGTCAAAGTCAGTGAACTGCAAAGCTACAAATTTGAAGAAGTTACTATGGTATATAAGAAAATGGTATAAAAATGTTAAAAAATGCAAAACAGACATAATGCAATTAAATACTTTATCTTACTCTAGTTAGTGATAAATCATGTATCTATGTAAACACAAAATACAAAATGGATATCAAAACAATGCTGTAAGATTTTAGCCATACTGGGAGGTGACTGTATCAAAGGAGTGGAGGGGGTCCTGGGAAAAGGTATTACGGGATGGGATTGTAGGTGTGGTTGCATTACGAGGGAGAACTATTAAGAGGAGCAGCTACCCTAACACACAAGGGAAGGTCCAGTGTGATAAAGGAAAGTGTTGAGATGTTATTTTAGTACACTTTCACTATATCCTATTCATAATGAAACAAAGACAGAAATAACAGCCTTACAGCTTTCAAATTCTGGTGCTCTATCAATGCAACTCAGCTGAAGCGAGAAACTTACATACTCACTCAAGGAGGCTCAGACTTTTGGGAGTAAGTCTGACAGCCTTTAATAACCACCTAAATATCCAAGTCACTAATTCCTTACTTGTTCTTCATGAACTCTGTACATTTATAAGGCTACAAACTGTGAGATATGAATGTTACTTTGCATCTGATAATAGACAATTCTAATCAATCTAAGATTCAAAGGTGAGAATAAACCCTAAAAAATCATGTTCAATAATGTTCAAAATTCTACAAACTGTATATTCAGTGGCTTAAAAGGTGATTGTTACCAAGAGCAACGCACCATCCAGAGAGCAAGTCCCAAAACCAAGATATCATGCAAACCCAAGCACCCAACCTACCTTCTATTTATTCCCTTGACAGGAGGACAAGCACCATATACTTATTGGCACTTTGTGCCTACCTATAGAAAACGTACTTTAAATGGACATGATGTTTTGGACTTGTCTCTGAGCAATGATATGCAGCGGTCATTTTCATTATTTATCAGTAAATACTAGGCTGCTGCAGCTTAAACTATGTTGTATCTTATTCTATTTCTTACACTCTATCAGATGGCATTATCCATTTCCCTCCATCTCCTCGTGTTGTTCTCAGTAACCTATAATGCTTAAAGAATAATCCTCAGCTCTTCTTAAAGATAAAATTTAACATATTTCTGCATTAATCACTCATGAATTATGTTGGCTCATTTCATATGAAATGATAACAAGCAAAACTATGACATTAAGCACAATTTCATTAGTGGATTACACTTAATATTCCATTTTGCCTAATGCTGCATTCGGAACTCCTCGTCTTGCTCATCCAGACATGCTGGCTAAGATGTTTTGACAGCTTCTTGTCCTCGACAAGTTATCCATCTCATACATCTTCAGCCGGTTTGTTAGAATTGTGCGAGGCCCAACCCAAAGATTATTTGTATTCTTGACATGCATAAATAAAGAAATAAATGCATATCTATTAGTCTAGACATGCATATAAGCCGAGGAAATAGATAGGTAAATGTATATCTATCAGACAGATAGACAGATATGCATTTATTTCTGTGTAAATGCATGTCTGTATTTACGAATATTCATTGGGTCAGGCCGCGCATAATTAACAAACCAGACATCTCATCCTCTCCTCCCAGCAGGGGGAAGGATGATATGATGTCACAATAGTATTTGCATATAAACTATGACATTTGCAGGCAAATATAAGATATTGATGGGTAATTTTAATGCTCTTTACTGATGTTATCATAGGATATTTTTGTGTATGTCAGTTGCAGGTTAGTTAATTATTCATCAACAGAGTTGGAAAACCTAAGTAGAATGTAAAATAAAGACACCACTATGATAAAATAGTGAATGTTTACTTTCGGATGGTTGCACTCTGGGCAACAAAGGCCTTGCAGATTCCAAACACGGGCTCATTGTCCTGCTGGTCCTGACAAGCTGTTTGGACGAGCAAGACAAGGAGTTCCAAACGCAGCATAAAAGTAGACATCTTCACAATCACCTATCTCTCTGTGGATTTTTTCATAATGGTTGATAACATTTTATTCTGAAGTAGTTTCATTGCTTTCTGCTCATTCCTATATTAAGCTGATCTTTTCATTTAAAAAATATCAAGGTTATGCAAAGGAAAATGCTCAACTTTTACCATTATTATTGGACTATCGCTAATTCTTAAGTTCTAACAAAACCGGCAAGAAGAACAAAATACAAGAATAAGAAACATTTCAATTTATCAGCATCATTCAAGTGTTCCCATATATAAACCCTTTGAAGGAGTTTCTTTATGAGGTTACGATACACTCATAAGTACAACAGCAGCAAGATCAAGCCGAATTCATCATTTTTTCATCAAGAAGAATGTATCACATGCAACATGCAGGAATAACCATGCAACAGGGACCTTTTAAGCCTGATCGATTACCTCTGCGTAGACACACGTTTTGTTTTGAATCAGCTGACTGAGAAGCGCTCGTGTTCCAGCAATGAAAGGAATTTTGTCTAAATCTTA